CAAAAAAAAAAGAAAACAACGTACGGCAAATTAAAAAAGAAGAAAAAAAATCTGTTGATCCTTCAAAAACAACTGTAGCAATCTTCGATTTGGAAAAGGTTTTGAGCATCCCACAATCTGAGGTTGGATCTTTCCACTACAAAAGGAAGTATCACATTTATAATTTCAAGGTATATGATACTACTCAAAGTAAAGTTGTTATGTTTGGCATGGTCAGATTGCTATAAGGGGGGCAAATGAAATTGGTAGTTGCTTACAACAATTTCTACTTAATTAGAAACAAAGAGGCATCCATAACATATGATTTTACTCCAACGGTTGTCGCGGACAAAACAAAAACAGATTTATATACGCTTTATATCTTTATGCTGCACGGAAGCTTCAATTGAATATCACACATGGATTCTTGGAATCCGGCCACGACCAGAGTTTTCGATTCATGTCACCATTGAACGTGAATCAAAACACAGAGTTGTATACACGCCTGAACACAATCATTATAAACTCGATAGTATAAAGGAGTTAATAGAAAATAATAAACTGGTTAGAAAATGAGGAGAGCCAAAAATATCATGGACTCAAATCATGGAAGTAAATGCCTCATATTCAAATCGCATTGGTAAGGCCAGTTACCAAGCCTAAGCCCTGGCTATGAGCCTGAACTCCAGACGTTATACACTAAGCCTATTGCAATAAGCTATGCTTTATATGATGATCTTATGAGCTTCCGTAAGACAGGAGATATTCCAAGTTACTATCGTGGTTTTTACGAGTTCTATAATTATGACAGTAACTGTTCTGGTAGCAATAACGACAGTGGGGAAGATCGTTACGATTAATAATCATCATCATCGTCATTATCATCATTACAGCCCTTCACAAGTCCACTGCTGAATATAAGCCTCCCCCAAGTAATGCCACAAAGCACGGTCCTGAGCTACCTGCATCCATCGACTTCCTGCATGTCTTACCAGGTCGTCACTCCATCTAGTGGGGGGTCGCCCTACACTACGCCTACCGTTAAGAGGCTGCCACTCGAGAACCTTTCTTCCTCATCGGTTATCAGCTATTAATCACCCATTTTTATTTTATTTTTTAAACATTAATTTATAAGAAACTAATTTTTTGTGATAAATGTGAATTTGAAGCTGTTTTATTAATAACAAATTATGTAATAGATAATATTAATAATTTCTTTCTCGTAATAATAATTTAGATATCAAGTGATCATAAAGCTGACTTTAAATAATATCAAATAGGTACAACGAGAGTAAATTAAGAAAAATACTGTTTTTATTTCAATTTTGTTTTGATTTTTGAGGAGTGAGAACCTAGTTTTGTTTGCTATTCAACGATTTGGAAGACATTCGTTACAAAGCTAATTTTCGGAAATTTATATTGAATAAAACTAATGTTGAATACTATATCATAGTTTTATTGGGACACCGAACTAAAAGTCCTTTATCAGAAAAAAAGTTTTACAATATTTCCTAGAATAAGACGATATTAAAGTATTATCATGATCACTTGCAGCTTAAAAACCTGTAGAATAAAATGATAAGTAAAGAGTGCAATATTTGACTATAGTCAGGCTGTACGGAGAATAAAATGATAATCGACATTGTACAACTTACACGAAGATTGATTGTGACTAACTACTTATTTTTTAAATAATATCTCTATTTTACTAATTAGGCGTGTTCCACTTAAATATTTCGAACACACAAAAATAACTTTTTTTCAAAGCTAACAATCATCAGTCTACGTTCAGTATTTAAGGAGTAAACAACGAAAACATGTTTTTTATTTTTCCTGAAAAGTTGCAATTTTGTGATTATCATTTTATTCTCCGGGGACTTTAAGTGCTGATTTACCACGTGCTCGGCGGTGAAGGAAAACATCGTGAGGAAACCTGCATGTCTGAGGAATAAGAAAAAAATATTTCGAAGACATGTGAAGTTCGTCAACACGCATTTGGGCAGCGCGGCGGACACTTCCTTGCCTTAAACCCTCTCAGAAATGAGGGGAGGCCTGAGCCCAGCAGTGGGACGTATATAGGCTGTAACTTTACTTTTAACTTTACTTTACTCTCCGGGGACGGCGATTTATGACAGGCTAATCTGTTCTGCGCGCGCACCACTTTCGACCGATTCGCGTTGGCCCTAAACTGTAATTTTAGGGCCAGCGCACTGGTCCGTTTTAGTTGTTTGGTCAGCCTTACGCTAGTAATACCTATATAAGTCAATGGATGTAGGAGTAATCAAATAGGTAGTAGAATTTTTGGTAAATGAAAACTTCTTTCGAATCGCGATTTGAAACTAGATGTAACGAAAACACGACACTAAACAAACACTTGATTTCTGAGAATGAATAATACATTAGGTACACTGTTTCGGTCGCGGTTTCCTATTTGTGCGGTGTTTTAAAGATGACATGTTTAAATTGTAAATAAAACTTTTAAATGTTAAAATAAAGAATAAAAAGAAAATCATAAACTTATTAAATAAATAAAAATAACCATAGGTATGAAATAAAATTATAATATAGGTACAATCCATTCATAATAATAATTCACTATTTTATAATTTATCGATTTATATTAAGTTTGTCAAGTTTAGCTCTAGGTGGCATTTATTTTACGTAGTAGCTTGAGAGTCAATTAATTTTTATTCGATAAAATGACTACATATAGAATTGAATGTTTCACGACTACCGCGTGTGTACTGCGTACTACTACATGTTTTTTTTTTCGCTTAAAAACCTGCGTAAAAAGGATCTACGGTTCTCTACACTCACTACACGAAACATAGAAATATTGAGCGTGGTCCTTCCCCGGTCGAGACGGCCCATTCGTGCTACAACTTAATATATAAACTCATAATATAGTTGCAGCACGACTCTACCCCGTGATTTTGCTACTCCCGTAGTTCAGTGGCATAGCCTTAGTTAATTTTCATACTTAGATCTTTGTTGGTTTGTATAACTCTAATTAGAATTTAGCTATGTAATTGTACAATATGCAAATAGAGACTAAGCGAAAATATAAATTGACCCAAAAAAATCAATGGGCCCATTTATCGGCCTACTTCGTTGGATGATCGAGAGACGCCCACTTCTACTCCCGAAAGCAAATATTTTATTTGCATTGACAACATTCAAATAGCGTTTGAAGTGTCATCAAAGCTTCTGTTTGTCACTCAAAATACAAAGTAAACTATTGTTATATATAAAAAGAGGCGAGTTTCGCCATTCCGCAGTCAGTCGTCAGCTATATTGTGGAAGCCGGTTAGAGCTGGCGCCAAAAATATCGACATGTTGAAAGTTTTGGTCGTTTTCGCTTTAATGGTTATTGGTTGGTAACTTTTTTAAATATTGATATCTGAAGTTTTGTTTTTGTTTAGACATTAATATCAAAAATTCTCCTCAGTCATTCCAAATACAGCAGTATGAGTGGCGGTGTAGTTGCGACTATATAGTAACAATCGCCTCATTTCGTACCATGAGTGTCATAAGAGCTGACTGGCAGCAAAACACCAGAAAAATTAGCAGTTTACTATCTCGTTTACGTCAGGCGTAGAATATCCAGACCGGTGACGGACAGCAGCGTCCAATTGAAGTCCATGGGCTGCAGAGAAACATCAGAATGACTTTTAAAGGCCATTTTACGACACCAAACGGAACGTTATGGGATAGTGTATATTCTCTTACACCGACACGGTACAGGAATCTTGTAAAATGACAAAAATGTATAGTTATAACGCCGCGGCGTTTTCAGACATCCAGCAAACAAAGGTTGGTCCAGTTTAAGAAGAGGAAACAGGGGATTTATACCGTATTCCCTTATGAGATGATGGTTTCATAAATTTTATACAGGGATAATGGTTCAAATATATACGGCCCGGTTATCCTCTAAATAAAAAAATCTTTTTACACGACCGCAGTTCGACTCAAAACCAATACAATATTTCGCGCTGATGTCTAATTCTAAATAAATCCGCCCGTAATTCCTAAACTAATTGTCAGATTTTGATAAAAAAAATTAATTCTCAATTGATTTGTCGTTATTAGATTATAATTATGGCGCAAACATAGATTATATGACATCCTCATAAAACAAATATGGCGGACGTAAACTGTCAAAAATTGAGACGATGATTGATTTTGTAAAGATATAATAACAAGCAAATGTATCATGAGTTGTATTTTAAATAAGTTTAATGTATGATAATTTGAGATAAACTAAAACAGGAGTTCTACACGTGGTAGAGCCACAGTGCAGCAACAGACGGCTACTTAAACGTCGCCTAGGTGCTATGGCGGCCGGCGCGGCGCACTGTCGGCGTCGGCACTTCGGTATACCTGTAGTTACTAGTTATACTGGAAACTGTGGAACTCAAAAGTGGTAGAATCACGCTGCAGCAGCTATATAATGGTTGTAGGACAAATGGATCGACTTGACCGGGGTAGGATCGGCTGGACCATGCTCTCAATATTGCTGTATTTCGTATGGTGAGTGTAGAGAACCTGAAACCCTTTTTACTGAAAATTTGGCATTCCATCTCAGTCCTCAGGGGTAACAATGTATCAGCATTTTGATTCTTAACAGTCACCATTCTTTCATTAACATTAATTCAGGTGACACAGATCACCTGATCTCACCATTATTCTAAAAAAAATTTAATGGGCAGCAGCAATTTCCTGGTAACGAGCAAAAATAATAAACAATAAAAAATAATAAGTCCGGTTGCCACAGGAAATTATGTACTGTCTGAGGAAATCTATGGAGGAGGCCTATGTTCAGCAGTGGAATTTTGATTGAGTGTAACGAATGAATGATTAAGTAAATGAATAATATCAAAGAAATATCTCTATGCTAGTAAGATGCCTGCAATCTGCGCGTCTTTGTTTTTCAATAATAATCTATTTATTACCTAATGTCACTGCACACAGGCCACCTTTGGGCTGCCGGCTTATCATGCAGCTCATGCGGCAGCGAGTGTATGGCCGCTTGCGGCACTAGACGTTTCCGCACTTGCTGCTTTAACTACCTGAGGAAGAAGCGCGGCCCCGAGATGTTGGAGGTAACGTGATTTTTTTCCCTATAAATAAGAGTGACAAATGAAATCGCAGTCCAACTTATTGTAAGTGGATGCTGTGTCTCATAGACACCTATATCTATTCTTGATTAATGTTGAATATTGGTACATTTAGAAAGTGACAAGGGCGATACTTCAATTAGCCAAGCTAGTTAATCACACACTGGTGTAACTAGACAGCGACCGTTCGGTGGGGGACGCAGCCCAGAAACAATAATTAAGAAACAGAATGCAGATCTGATGTCGGAGAAGCTATAAAAGATCGTAGGCTATGGGGGTCGACTAAGTGAATCGTAAGAACATCTAATAGTTTTTAATAGAGTACATAATAACTAACTGGTATATATGCCCAGTGTCGGTTTTAGCATGACTGACGTCCTAGGGCGATCGCCCAACCGCGCCCTACTGTAGCACCGCTAATGCATATCTATGCCGTGTATTGGCGACTTACGGGAATTCATAACCTAATATCATTTCGTGGCTATGGAAATTAAACAGGAGATAAACTGCAGCATCTTGCTGATAATAACTCAAACAAAAATTCGCCTGCCTAGCGTGCTAACTATGGCAAATATCTCCCCTATGAGGCAATCCACTTATCATCAGATGGACTATATGCTTTCAGTCACCTTCGTTATCCTAAAAAATACTTCTCATATTCATTCATCCGTCACAAGTCCACCGCTGAACAAAGGCCTCCCACAAGGAATGCCACAAAGCATTGCCCTGAGCCAACCGCATCCATCGACTCCCTGCATCACTTACAGATCATACTTATCAGATCGTCACTCAATTTAGTGAACCCCCCCGCCCCCAACTTCCGCTAACTCTAATAATTACAAAAGCTCTTTAATCTTTTATGAAAAATTTAATCATATTTAATCTCAAAGATCAGTCTATTATTACTGTTACATTCAGTCATATGGTTTGCAGACCAAGCCAACAAATGATGTTACTCGTGTCGTAGAGAACTTCAGGATACACGAGGCACCTCCTCAATTCGAAGACCCAAAGCTATGGTGGATGAATGTGCTCTCTAATGGAAATCCTTACTACGGTAGCTACGAAGATTGAAAACCTAAGGCAATTAGTTTAGTAATAAAAATGGTTTCTATTGTATAAACTAATACAAGGCGAATTTTGTAAAATATGATTAGAAAATAAATACCTAATTTAACTAATCTGGCATTTTATCTGTGACAACATATCAATTGGATTTCAGCGTTAACCTGTCAAGTTCTGTCGTTCCGGGACACATGTGCCGCAGCCCCAGCTGTGCTAAATTTGTAGACCTCTACAAAGATTATAGTAATATTTGGGAGGGACTCCTCAGAACCACAGAGTACATTATTCAGAACCAAATGCTCCAGACTCCAGAGGCTCCTACTGAGTACATCGATATAATTTCATATTAGATATTTCTTTTCTTTATGAAATTTGAGTGATTCTATGTCCTTCATAGTAGTTATTTTATTTTAACATCGTCATCATCATCGTCTTGCAATCGTCGTTTCGCTAGCGCTCACTTGTACCTTACACAAATGATTCGATATTTAAGAGGAATATTACAAAAACACGCGAAATTACAAGGTTTCTTCGTTGAAATTATATGTTTTCTGTTCTTTGCTTGAAATAACAATTACTTGATAAAATAGTTCATTTTCTCTACTACAATAAGCTCAGAGCAATTTTTAGATAACTTATTTATTTATTTAGTAATAATCATTCTCCCGATACATGTTTAGGTCTTTGACTATTTAATCAAAGGAGACGGCATCGCAAGACATACCCCTCTGTAAAAGGTACGGGAGTCCGACACATACCCGTTATATAAAACTAGTTGCTCTAGTCTTGTGTCTGCTCGGTCATTTGAAAGATCGCTCCGTACTAGTTACGTTACGTTTACGTTCGGTATTGGCGTCTTGCGAGTGTAGGTATACGAAAAGAGTTGTTAGACCGATTAACTATCAGCATTTGGAAACGTTTCTTTTATTACATTACCAAGATACGTTTCCTAATCGTTCATCGTTCGCGAACTACACAAGACTAAGTAGCTCCGCGTCATGCGCCATTACGCAAGTGATCGTGCCAGTCAATTGAGCTCCGACAAAAAAGCCGAATCGCAGTGTATTTTCATGCAAAAAACAATTAAAACCGTCAAATCTACAAAAGTAGCGCCGGCCATCTGCGTTCACTATCGTGCGAGCGCTTGTCAAGGTTGGACCTGCGTCAATTAATTTCGCACGCTAAAACATGGAATTTCATAAACACCCTAGCTATAATAAAGTCAAAAATATTCTACAAGTGCTCCTCCAAGACCTATATTTAATTCTTTTATTTTTAATGATGGTTTTAAAATATGTGAAATATATAATGATTTTTTTTCTCGTCTATTGGTGTCACAATGTCACAACAAATCCCTAAAACCTGCCAAACTAATTCAGCACAAATTTCAACTTATGGAAAGGGTATTCCTATTGATCAATTAACAGAAATGACTCTATGAACTATAGATGAGGATTCCAAAATAATAAATGATCTAGACGCAGAAACGAGTAGAGGTATTGACGGAGTAAGTACTGAATCCCTTAAACGTATTGTCAGCATTTTTACTAAAAACATAACATGATGCATAAATAAATGGCTTGCTACATGCTATTTTCTAGATAGACTGAAAATATCAAGAGTGACCCATATTCCCAATCGGGTACTAAAACAGATCCCGGTAACTATAGACCAATATCTGTCTTGCCCGTAATATCTAAGGTGTTCGAGAGTTTTGTACAATCGAATAGGTTACCACTTATCTAACCTAAATGTCATATCTTATTCTCAGTATGGGTTCAGAAACAAATAGAACACACTTTAAGCCACCATAGATCTTATAAAAAATAAAAACAAATATCGACCACAACAACCACTGTTTAGGAATTTTCATAGACTTGAAAAAGGCGTTCGACACAATCAGCCACACTATCCTCATTCGTAAACTCGAGAACTTGGGTATTACTGGAAATGCACTTAAAATTTTTGAATCATACTTAAATAATAGATTTCAATATGTAAAAATAGGTGATTATTGCAGTAGCCCTCGGTTTATAAAATGTGGCATACCGCAAGGATCAATATTAGGGCCACTGCTATTTTTAATATATGTTAATAATGTAACTAAGATAGGGTTAACATGAAACATAACTTTATATGCGGATGATACCTGTCTCTTTTATTTTGATAAAGACATTAATGAAATTATTAGGGAAACCAAAAAGATATGAATACCTATAATAACCGGTTTCATAGTAATCTTCTAACTTTTAATGTAAAAAGACCTCTTATATGATATTTGCGGTTAAAAACAAAACAATCCACCACCTCCGCTTACACCAAGAGTGATACTTAAGACTACATTTGGATGATAAACTCACTTGGATATGTCACGTCGAAAAAAACGAGTGTGCTTATGACCACACGACTGAAGTAAAACTTCTTTAGCTCCATCTGTATATATATACATATTTATATATGCATATATGTATAATATATACATGTATGTACATATATTAATTTTATATAAATATTTATATTTATTATCAGCTTCCTTCCATAATTTGAAATTTCACAAGACATGAACTTTAAAATGAATTTACAATTTTATTCACTTTAAACGTAGAATATTTAATGTATTGAACAAAATATTAATTCATAAAATACGGAACGTAACTGCCTATGAGAGAAAGAGAGAAAGAAAACGTGCGCACGCACTGCTCTCTCTTGCTTATATCCCCTACTCAACTCCCGTTCGCCTCGCCCGATCACACTTTTCGTAACACTTAACAATCAATGAGTTCACAATAGGGTATTACATCCATTTTCAAAAAGTGTTATAAATGAATCCTAGAGTGATAATAAACCACTATAATTTTATACAAATTTTTAAAACCGAATAGTGTCATAAAAATTACTTTTAATCTATCGTTTTAAATTTTCGCGTGAAAACGCTAGCCGCCATGCTGCTTAACTCGTGACGTCACTGTCTTCGAATTTTACCGGTTTTGCAAAGGAATAAGATAGGTACTTTTTAATGTTTAATAATGAGTATCATCTATATCATTGTTGTGTTTTGCAAGCATAAGAACGCCGGGAAAGTTATGGATTCAAGTGCCAATGATTAAAATATAAAAAGTACTTGATTAAAACTGGTAAGAAGATACCCGAATACAATGTCCACAAAAACTAGATTATTCTGTGAAGATCATTTTGATGTAATTAAAATCGGAATTATTTAAACAGGTAACTCAAATATTTAAAATAAAACCCTTATATGCTACTCCCTATCACCCCCAAACAAATGGTGCCCTAGAACGTAGCCATTCTACACTCAAGGAATATCTGAAATCTTTTGTTAACGAAAACCAGAATGACTGGCATTGTTACTTAGCCACCGCAGTATTCTCTTACAACACTACCCCTCATATCACTACTACATATACATCCTATGAATTACTATATGGGTGTGGCCGTGGAGGGAAAAGGAGAGATCTCCCGCCGGGCAAGGTGTTCTGCCCGGGGAGCGGCCGACACTCCGAGTGATAGTTCGGAGAAGTTCTATATATACTGTCTATGATTCGGAATGTTAATAGCGCAATTTAGGCTTCAGTGTGTTTCGGTGTGCTAGTGGCGCGACGACAGCGCCGCTACATCACCGGTACATGCTCAGACCGGAGGTCGATAGTGCAGCCTCGTTGCCGACGAATGTGCAAGTGTCAGGAGATTGCCTTGTAGTCTGCGGTGAGTCGAGAAGAAGGCAAGTAATCTGCGAGAGTGCCGTGAAGCAGAGGCGAGCAGTAAGGCTCAGAGCCGTGCCGAACACTGTATAGCACAGAGAGTAGCTTGAAAGAACAGGAAGCATTATTATTCCAGTGCTGCGATGAACCTTGTGAAGCTAACTGACTTGCAGGATATGAAGACTTGTAGTGTTATGCTATTTACATATCATTTTACACTATTTTAAATTTATTTTTCCATTCTGTTTTTGATTTTCTGCATTCACCTCAAAACTGGATATTTTGCATCACCTTTATTTCCATAGGATTCTGTTACGTTTTTAAACCATAAGAACACAATAACAAATAATTTTCACTTCGTATTTTCACGCTATCAGCACTTTTTAAATCGGAGTTTACCTTTTTCGATCTTTTATTTAGTTCTCCGTAACTCTGCAATTTCGGGCTTCGTGCGCGCTGTTACGCTACTTTTTTTTCCTATATCAATAATATCTCATTTTTCACTTAATTCTTGCCGTTTCTCTATTACGAGCCTGAAACCAAAATTTGACATGTTTTGACATCGTTGTTTATCTGGTTGTCATGGCAAGTTTTATTCAAATTCGTTACCGGTCTGATGTTTTTACTTCAAAACTTCCACAAAAATACTCTTTTCTTCTTAGCCATTTACAAAAATTTGTTTTTAATTTAAATAATTTCCCGTTCTTATCTCAGATCCGTCGTCGAGCGCGGAGCTCTCTAAAAAAAGTATAAAAGCCGAACAATCGGCCAATAAAGTCAGTCTCGCTTCAGCTTTCAAACTAGAAGCATCTCCTAAAGGCCTTATCCCGGGGCCGCACTGCCCCGGGATCCTGCAAGCATGAGTGTCGGACGCCTCCACCTACTAGTGCCCGCGCTATCTTTAGCCGCTGTGCGTGCTTGCTCCAGGCGCTGCGAGCGCCTACTTCAGGCGCTGAGAGCATCTACCAAGGCGCTGTGGTGCCTACTCCAGACGCTGCGTGTGGCCTACTTCAGGCGATGCGTGTACCTACTCCAGGGGCTGCGTGTGCCTACTCCGAACGCTGCGTGTGCCTACTCCAAGCGCTGCGTGTGCCTTCTCCAGACGCTGCGTGTGCCTAGATCAGGCGCTGCGCACCTACCACTGGCATAGCCTGTGCATACTCCGTGAGCGGTGAGCACCACTGCCAAGCCAGGTGTGCCACCTTGGTCTTCGGGCTCCGTTTTAGTACTCATTTATCTTTGTTATTTTTTTAAAAAAAAATTGCAATTCACGTCACCCATCATCATCTT